AGTATAATAAATTACAATAAAAACATTTTATATTACTACACAAAACTTTCATGTTTCAGTACTAAGATGGTACTTCTTCAGGCGATGAGAGGTAACTAATGATAAAAATGATTTATTAGGGAAAATTAGAAAACAAATCTTTACCTCTTTTTGAAAGTTAAAGTCGGGGACATAAGGTCAGAATTAAAAATATACTTATGCGTATATACAGATTAACCAGTGAACATCAAGTCTATGCTAAATTCTAAAAATAAAATCAGAGGGTGGTCCGATGCTAAGACATGACATTCAATGATACTAGGGAAAAATTTCAGTGACAAATGTATTATTGGTGCATCCAAGTATGATTTGGCAATTTGTTAAAGTAGACATAAACAGATTTTTTTTTTTTAAATTAATTAAAAAAATTTTTTTTATACACTCAGGAAGTTTCTTAAAGGGGCCAGCAGGTAAAATTAAAATATGGAAACATCTATATAGGTTGTTAATTATACTGAATAGTAATAGTAAAACATGGCAGTATTATAGTTGTATAAATCAAATAAATGTTGGGTCTTACAACTAGTGATATAAATAAAGTTATAACTAGTAATTTTACCCCATCTGTTTTTCTCTCATTTGGGAATATATATATATATATATATATATATATATATATATATACGGTGGAGTAATGGATAGCGGCTTAGATTGAGGAATTGCAGAGCCAAGTTCGAATTAGAGTCGAATCCATTACATTCACTTACGATGCTAATACCCTTGGGAAAGGTGTGAATCCTCTTCTCCCTCCAGATATGGGTAAATAGCAGGACAGACTGGGTTCTATAGCCTTGGATGGCAATTGGTCTAGGAGATGGACAACTCTGAATTCAAAACCTGCGGAGGGTTGTTTGGTGACCTTATGGCACTTAGTGCACCAGGTCTCTGAATTCGGCCCTTCAAAAAGTGTGGATGGTCCTGCACGAAACCTTCACCACTATAATCAAATCACATATGCTGTTGTCGGGCTGTCGGTTTCCTGGAAACTGATCTGCTTGACCCTCATACATCGAATAAAAATCAACGGGAGAGTTGACTATATATAAAAGTGGTAAAGATATATATACATACATGTATTAAGCAACTTTTAGGAATGCATATATATATATATATATATATATATATATATATGTAAAGACATTTTTATGTTTAACGTTCTTTTTATAGATACAAGTATTTAAGTAAATGCTCTGTTTATAATAAACAGTAATAAATAACATTTACCGGCCTGAATGTCCGAGAAATTTTCATAGAAAATATTCGTCCTTTGACAGGATTCGAACCTGCATCATATACGGAACCGTCATTTACGCTGACGTGCCTTGACCGCTCGGCCACAAAGGATCGTTCGGTTGGCAAGGTTGAATTTACTGCTTATAAACTTCAATCTTCCATGAATCTCGTACATTCATAACTGCTCATTTAAGTACAAGTATTTAAGTAAAATATTTTACTTAAATACTTGTATCTATAAAAAAACGTTAAACATAAAAATATCTTTAATAAATAAATTGTCGGACTTTGTCCATTTCTTAATATATATATATATATATATATATATATATATATATATATATATATATATATATCTCTTAGGAATGGATTTTTTATTTATTAATCCGACATATTTCTAATTAATTTCAACGTTTTTTTTTTTTTATGGTTACTCATATTTGAGTAGATGCTCTGTTTTTATGTTTTTATTTATTTATTAAACCGTATATTTATTTATTTTCATCTGCTGGCCTAAATATTTTGAGTAATTTTGTTAGAAAAATATGTGTCCTCTGGCAGGATATGAACCTGTGTCTTCTAAGGCAAACTGTCATTGGATCTGACATGTCTTCACCCCTCGTACATGAAGAACCTTCACCCCTCGTACATGAAGAACCTCTTGAACAAACAAAGCCTGAATAATGCTTTTGAACACAGAACTTTCCCAAATCTGTCGGAGGGTGCATATTTTTTAACAATATTTCTCAAAATATTCAGGCCGATAGATGGAGATAAATAAATATACTGTTTCATAAATAAATAAAAACAGAGCACCTACTCAAATATGAGTATCTATAAAAAAACAAAAACATTTAAACTAATATATATATATATATATATATATATATATATATATATATATGTTTTGAACAATAAAAAAATTAAAATTTTCAGACACACTCGGTGGTATATTAATATTATTTTGTTTTATTATTTCAATTACGTTCCTCAACTAGTTTTGACCAGCATGGCCATCATCAGGAGATAAATTTTTGGAGAAAAAAATTTCTGCTTGTTAGTAGCAATAAACTACAGGCATGAATCTTTACGAAGAAAATGAACTTTATCTGTAGCTTTCATTTGATTTTTATCATTAATTTTAGTTGCTCCTTGTGTTGGTCAAACGTTATTTGGCATGTAAAAATGATCCTAAATTCTCAATGTGTTGAGAGTATTCAAATTTAAATAATTATTATAGAGTTGAGAAAGGTAAAACTTTACAATATGATAATTTGATATATCATATATATTTGCATATCATGTAACTTTTGAAGGCTTAATTTTGAAGCTAATTTTAAGGGCGGGGCGGTCACATCATGCACAAGATATAAAATTAGCATATGTACTCCTGGCCCTGGCTACATCATTGACCAAAATATATATATCCATTTACTGTAGTCAAAATAGCTTCAAAATTAGCTTTTCAAAAATCACATTATACACAAATATATACGGTAATTAAAAACATACAATAATCAAAGGAAGCAATGGTAAAAAATGGGGATCAGTTTTATATTGTTCTTTAGTATTAAACACATCCCCCATTTCTTGGCCACTGTATATTCTATCCATTTCTATAATATAGACAGGGTTTAAGTAACTTCCAAAAAATATTCTCATAGGTTGGTTTGTTATATATACGGTATATACTCATGTATCATGCAACTTTTGGTCTAATTTTGAAGCTAATTTTTCTGCAAGATATAAAATTAGCATATGTAGTGCTGGCCCTGCCTATGTCATTGACCAAAATATATATATACATTTACTGTTGTCAAATTAGCATCAAAATTAGCTCTTCAAAAGTCACATGATATGCAAGTATATATGGTCATTAAAAAAATATGATAATGAAAGGAAGACCTAATTTTGAAGTTAATTTTAAGGGGGTCACATCATACATGAGATATAAAATTAGCATATGTCCTGCTGGTCATTGACCAAACTATATATCTATTTACTGTAGTCAAATTAGCTTAAAAATTAGGTCTTCAAAAGTTGCATGATATGCCAGTATATACAGTAAATGTTAAATTGCATGCAAATTTTATCTTTTTATGCAAATTATAAGCTGTCTAAATTAATATTCTGTTTCATTAAGTTTTATTTTGTTTGAAGTTGGCCAATATTTTTAATGATGTATCTTATAAATTGGGAGCATAAAATTATAGTCAGTCTCAAATTGCTCTCATAAAAATCTACTGTCCCTCTTTTGCAACAATACATCAACTTTGTCTGCCATGGGTTTGTCTAATGACTTGCATAGAACATCAAGCTCCTTTCATTGAATAAAGTGTAATGAGAACAAAGGAAAAAAAAATCATCCAGAATTAAAATAAAACTGGTTATCTTCTTATATTTAAGAAAATATTTCACTTGGGAGCCCAAAATAAAAGATATGTTAAATTTATTTTTCTACCTGCTAAGTAAAGGCACAATTAAGTACAGTGTAACCCGGATATAAGAGAGTTGTCGGGACCGGAGAAGAAGTCTCTTATATCCAGGTTTCTCTTATATCCGGGTTTGGTCTATTTTGTTTGGGTAAGTTTAGGCTCTAATTTGGGACCAGATAAAATCTCTCTTATATCCGGGTTTCTCTTATATCCAGGTTACACTGTAATTTGGATAGGTAACTCTTTAGGCCATCATTAAATGTTGAGCAAGATGGAAGTTTTCTCTACCAGGAAAATATTTATAATTATATAGAGATTAAAATATTTATAATTATATAGAGATTAAAATATTTATAATTATATACAAATTAGAATATTTATAAATATATACAGATTAAAAAAGAAAAAAATTTCTTCCATCATTTTTCATAAATGTTTTAATATTTCTTCTTCAGGCTTGTGAATGATGAAAACTGCTAATATCAAAAAGTGATTAAATAATGTAATCTTTATTTTACAATAATAAATCCAAACTGACCTGAATTAATTTTTCATGACGAAATTCTTTGATTATACGAAAAGAAAGGGAAAAGTACAAACAAGTTATGATATAGTACAGAAACATCAAATTTTATTTGAGGAACAATGTAATATTTTTATAATACAGGTCCATTATCCCTAATCCAAAATCCTTTTTGGATTATAGAATAACTATAGCAATATGACTGATACATATATATTTGTAAATTCTATGACATGAACAAATCTTTCATATCTATATATATAAAGTTGTAGCCTCTGTCTGTCTGTTTGTTATCAAACTCCTCCTATGGTTTTGGAGATAAACCACCATAATCATATATATTATGAAACTACATTACCCAGTATACTTGAATAAGTATACTTCAATTTTATCAAAGAGGGTTCCCGGGTGAGTGGGGGACCACAAACATCTCCACTGAAAATTTTTTTCCCCTTGATTTAAATTAAATTTATATTTGAACAAGGGAATGACTTCTATCCAAAATATAGAAGGAAAAAGTCAGAAGATGGAGGTCACATTTACAAGATCATTGAGTAATATTGAAATGCCTCAGTTTTCTCCACAAATTATAACAATGATTTAAAATCAATCATCATTTTCTTACAAAAAAAATGTGTGACACACTGCAAGGCATGGGTAATTCGGCTAGTTTCATATAAAAACGAGTAATAAAATTTGTATGTATTAAGGTATGTACACTTCAAATATTAGATGTAAAATTATGAAGAAAGAAAAAAAAAAGAACTTACCCTAATCTGTCTTCATCATAAACATAAAGGTTAAGATCATAAAAGTCACTGTGTAAATGCATCTTGTATTCTTCTCCCCAGAATGGACAGAGACTTTTGTATACTGTAGCTGTTCTGCAAAGAGATAAGAACAAAAAATTAAGAAAGAATTTCTCATTTTCAATTTAATTAAAGGAAAAAATAAACATCCTTTATTTCATTTTTGTCACAACTTTAGCATCAATGAAACGTGTACATTTCTTATGTTAGTGAGGTTTATCAAAATTCTTGTTTCACTATTTCAAAAAATGTCAAGGCTGTTCAGTACCTAGATGACAGCTTGGGAATACCAGGTGCTGTAAGCTTGAATGTGCAGATGGTATAATGGATAACAGCTTGGAATTGGAAATCGGAGAGCTGAGTTCAATTCCAGCTGGGTTTGTTATATTCACTTACACACAAATACCCTTGGGAAAGGTATCAAGACACCTCTTTTCCCCTCAGTTATGGGTTAATTAGCAGAACTTGTGTCAGTAAAAACCATTATTACCCCCAAAGAATTCTTACAATCTAAAAGTATTTTCTTGCTTCAAATAACCTGCAAAAGATTGATAAGCCATAATAAACTAATCCATCAAATCATTATTTTAAAGCTCATTTTTTTTTCACAATAATCTTGCTCCATTCTTGACTTTTCCAAATTTATTAGTGCTGCTGCTTGCTGATTTTGTACATGGCTGTAAGTATATATTTTTGGAGAGAGAAGAAGTAATGCTGATTGTTAGGAAAGTGATGCTCATAATTATTGTTTCACCATTATTATGCAGGATTCTGTCTCTGACTATTGTTCATTCTATTGGTTCTTCAGTCATTGCAGTCTCTGAGCATTCTGACCCTTAGATGACATGTAAACAAATTTTGATCCCAGAATATACAAATGAATGTCAGATTCTTCAACACACCAGAGACTTAGACAAATAAAAAAGCAAAAGCAAAAAGAACATTGCCACTGTTTCAGTGTAAGGTTATGGAAGCCACAGATATAAGAAGAGAAAATAAAATACTAAAGGGATTCAACACAGATGCTAACTCTGTTTACTATTATTGCAAAACTGTATTACAGCCAGCATTAAATAGCAATGAATGAACAAGACATGCCAATGTAATGAAACTACCAACTATTCTAAACGAGAATAAGGTTAACAATACTTTGCACCAGATAATACATTTATCTTAAGAAGATCAGAGAATGAACAATCCTAAATATTGTCAAAGACAGCAACAAAGACGATGACAGTCCCACAAAATCATTCAATGTTACCTTTACTAGTAGTTAAAATAGACATTCAGTTTTTATGAGATATTTAATAGTGAAAGAGAGAGAAATAGAATGTTAGGGAAAAATCTTTCCTCAACAACAAAGGAAACCTGAAGGAGAGTCTAGTAATGTTTTTGATTCCAAGATGAAAATTCCAAGAGGCAAACCAATTCTTTAGCATTTTCATTACTTCATTGTAGAATACAATAAGATACAAAACTTATAACCACAAGTTTATATGCCCAATAAGTTTTTTGGTTTACAAATGTATTTGGAAGACTCACATCAGTTTAAGTAATTCTTAAAACAAATTATCTTTTTAAAAACAATTCCAAAACATTAATTCATAAAAATCCACTTCCAAGCACATCTATATTTATAGTATGTATCACTGGATGCTTTACTATAAAACAAGGATTACTGTCAAAGGTCCTTACCTATAACTACAGAATGAACTCTTCCTAACACTATGTACACTACACCTCTGAAGAGAAAGGGACAAATCGAGTCGAGCCGATAGTAGTTCACTCCAAACCAGACTGACAGTCATACTAACACCTTCCACATCTTGTATTATTATTTCGTGTAATATACCTTCATTATTTCTACTCTTGTGTTCGTGTTGTTCTTCCTTGGTCCTAACCTGGACCATAACACTAACTTAGTCTCACTATCTATTACTACTGTGGTGAATTCCCTTCTCACTGGATACTATACATTTATGGTCTTGTGTCATACTAAGCTTAGTAAATATCAATATGTCAGTTGAACAATCTTCAAATATATTATTGCTTTTTGTTGCTAAATCTTATCATTGGTTTTCAATATTTCATATTTATGGAAGTGCAAGTAGTGTAGTGGATGAAAAATTGGTGAATTTGTTACATTCACTAATGCCCCAATATTCTTGAGAAAGGTATAAATCCATGTCTTACTCTTCCAACTATGGGCTAAATAGTAGCGCAGATTGGGCTACAACTGCATTGAGCAATTATTATTATTATATTATCTCATGTTTTTATTAAACAGATCATACACATATGATTTGCAGTATATATGCAAGATTCAAAAAGATGAAATTGTGAAGTTAGAGAATAAAAATGTTATATACAAATATTATTCATTACTATGAAATAATATTACCAAAATTAAAAGCTTCTCCTTAGCATGAAATTGTTAAAAAGTGATCTAAAATGCACAGTCAGAGGAAAAAGTTAGTAAATTGAAAAGTTTGATTAAGTATTCAAGGAAATTTTAAAAAAAATACATGGATTGGTGGCTGAGCAACTACAGCCATCTCTAAAATACTGAATTGACAAAACTCATAATAAAATTAAATCTCACAAAAATAAAAATTTGAACAAGAGAAGCAGGAGGAAATCTCAATTATCAACCTAAATTCATAGAAGCAGTAGGTACAGTTAATGGTAGGTGAGGCCACCATACACCAATATCATGGAAATACCATGACTTATATCATTTTTGCCCTGAATTCTTTTGAGGGTTTGACAGGTCCAACTAACATCAGTTATCCTTTTACTTTGCATATTTGTTTTGATATTTTAGTTTGTTTTGGGGTTCATTCCCTCCCTTCATTATGTATCATCCACAGATTTTTGTATATAGTATTTTATAATCACTAATTTTTATGCCATGCAGTGTTTTTGTAAGTCCCCTGAGAGTATTACGGTATTGTGGTATATGGAGGATTAAATGATGATGGATACATTCTTTTGGTGGCTGTGCAAATTGTAATGAATGAATGGGTCATGAATCTGATTAGCTAGGTATAAGATAGTAAGTGATGACCAGCCTTAGCGCATTCCCCACCATTTTTGGCTTTGTGCTACAATTATATTTTATATACAATAAATCTAGACATTTGGCAAGGTAGTGGGAACACTAGCTAGGTTTGTTCATAGCAAAATGATATGGATTAGTGGCCTTCAAACAGAGCATGACAATGACAGAGTGATGGGACATTTCATTTATGAAATTGTGGGTATATTTGACATCCTACAATCTACAGTGTCATGTACAAGCACAGTGGCTGACCATGGGTGTTTATTGATTGTAACTAGAGGTCTGTAGCTAGAATTGTTTGTATAAAAGTGATACTGACTCAAGTTACATGCACATTCAATGCAGGAGGCACTAAATACATATCTATCATATCAGTTCAATGTTTTTGATCATGGGACATGGAAGCAGAAGATCCATAACATCAGACACCTGGGCTTGTGGTATAATTAATTGGACATAGGAGAACTGATAATGTGTGGTCTGGTCTGATGGCTCATGTTTCCAGTTGTTTCAGAATGATGGTAGCGTTTGAAGCTACGGACCTCAATTGTCAACAAAGCAACTTGCAAACTCCATAATGATGTTGGGTATGTTCACATGATATGGGTTAGATTCTCTGGTTTTCATTAAAATGTCACTGACTAGGGCTGTGACATTGCACTGCTTCATGACCATTTTCACTCATTCATTCACTCCTTGTGTTGCAATAACAGCAGGTTATTCCATCAAGCATTCACTCCTTGTGTTGCAATAACAGCAGGTTATTCCATCAAGATAATGCACTGTATTTACTGGTTGCCCAAATTGCCTAAAATTATGGTTGTGGAGCATTCTGGAGAGCTGATAAATGGTGTGAGCACTATCAGTGCCCAATATGAGATTAATTGAGCCTTAATAGTACATTGTGGATAGGCCTATTCACATGCAAATCATGCACTTACAAATATCAGGGAGATGTGGGCAGCGATCAAGATGGTATGTCTCACTGTCTCTCCAGATGTCTTCTAACCATTTGTGGAATCAACCCCATATTAAATTGCTGCATTTTGCCAACCTAACATTTTTTTAAGCACATCACCCCAAGCAAGGCGGGAGTGCCACTAATATGCAAGGGGTTACAGAGAGTGAGAGCAAAAGTAAAAAGGGGTGTTTGAGGAAAGGATAAAGAAAAGATGAAGATCAAGGCATCAGAAGATGTTGATTGACATTACATTTGAATATTTGAAGATTATAGCTATCAGTGAAGCAAGTAAAAGGAAGGGAGTTCCACTGATGGGAAGTGCAAGATAAGAAGCTGTTGGAGTAGAAGAGACAGCTACATTTAACTGTTTCAACAGTGAAAAAGTAGGACCGAGATGCCAACCTAGTAGCACGCTTAAATTCATGCAGTTTGGGTACCAGTGAAAGTAGTTGCCATGAAAATATTTGTAGAGAAGACAAAGGGAAGCCACAGTACATCAATGAGAAAGTGACTGTTGATGAGATGCCAGATCAGGACCTATCACATTACATATCTGTCTCTGGATTTTGTCGAGGACCTTGTGATGAACAAGGGGGAGGGGCAGCAGACCATATATCGCAGCAGTATTCAATGCAAGGGTGAATGGTTGATTTATAGATTTGAAAAATGGACTCAAGTGAGAAAAACCTTCTGGCATGACACAGAGAACCAACTTTCCTTGCAGTAGATGAAGCTATTGATTCAATGTAGTTGTTCCACCTCAAGTGAGTGGAAAGCTTGAGACGAAGCAGGCACAGAGAGATGCTCTCATGGAGTTGAGCATCAGCCGTTCTGATAGGAGGCAGGGAGGGTTGATAGTAATCCATTACTTTTGTTAAGTCACTGTAGTGTGATTGCAAATGTATGTGTTTTATTAAAGAAATAATATAAATGCCTTAAAAATTCTCTCCATATTATACATTCCTCAGTGGAAAATGCATTTTTAAATATATTTTATTTGGTACTTAGTATAATGTTTTTGTACAAAGTGCAGTGCAAGTAATTTGAATAGTA